GCGCGCTCGTGCCTCGTGCCGCGTACCGCGCGCTCGTGCCTCGTGCCGCGCGCTCGTGCCTCGTGCCGAGTACCGCGCGCTCGTGCCTCGTACCGCGCACTCGTGCCTCGTAAAGCGCGTGCGTACCGAGAGCGGCCGGCGCTACGAGAGTGTTCTCAATACTTAGCTGTAGTTAGCTTTAGTTCAACATAATTTGAAGATCAGAGTAAATGCAATAAGTTTTTGACGATATTAAGGTCAAGGGAATGTTAATAAAGGTAAAACCTTTAAGATGAACCAGCAGAGACGTTCGCTCCAAACGATGTTAAGTAGTCAGCGCGGCTCGGTGGACTCCCGCTCGCGGTCCCGAGCCGTCGGCGGACCGCGCGAACCATACCATAGTACTGAGAGGAATATTATATGAATATTATGTTTGGTACAGACTATTTATACGTTATACTGTATTATGTCGATCATAATAGGATAATAAACAAATTTGCTATCATATCCCTCACCTTGTTTCTTTTCAAATACCCAATCCACCTGAACTGTAGAAGATAGCAAGCGTTCGAGCATGAGACGCGCAACAGTAGTAAACAATGAACAAAAGCGTGTGTTTATGTGCAAAATGATTTGTCAATTAAATAAGATAAAGTTGCAATTACGAGATTCTACTGTATACATTACACACTCGAAACTAATAAAATTGAGGTGAACCTGAGACGTCGCTCTCGTCCGGAGAAATAAACAAGAATAGAATTAAATGGCGATTGTGTGTATTCTGTGACGTGACGGCACACCTAGCTGAATCATGCCCGTGCACAGCAGTTGCTGCACGCTGGCACACTTCACCTCCACACCTTTCGGCTACTATAAACAGTAAGAAAATTATCTACTGTTTAAAATAATATCGCTCCACGGAGGTAAAACACAAATCTGTTTACTGTGATAAGTAATAATTAAATAATATATCAGTGTCATTGTTTGACATAAATAATCAATCAGTTCGTCTATATAAACAAGTGTACTTATATATTTTTTATATAAAAACGTAGCTATTGTATAAGTTAGATTGTAGATTTTGATTGAGAAATGGGAGAGCCGATGCCAAGGAACGTGCGGTCGGTGAAGAGCCGACTTGACACGATCAACCAGACGGAGGAGTCCGCGCTCAAGAGGATGTCGACGATGAACAAGGTGCAGTCGCACTTCCTGGTACCCTCGGAGAAGCTGGACAAGGTGACGCGGCGGGTGATCGCGCCCTACGCGCAGATCGAGCGCAAGGGGGTCAAGGAGGAAGAGGCGCGCGACTCCTACCTCGACATCTCCCGCTTCCAAGTCTTCCTCGAGGACTCCGTCGACCTGCAGGCGCTGCTCTGCGACACCGCCGCCGTCCTCAAGACCATCACCGACAGCTCTGGTCATCATCACATCACACACAACAACTTTATACCTACACACCATTCCCACAAAAATAATGGCTCTTACAATTTGTCCAACTTTGCAGGCGTATTTGTGTACATCGTGGACAAGCTCAAGAATGAGATCGTTCTAATGACGAAGAACATAAAGAATCCGGAGCGACACGAGGTCAACATACCCATCGGTGTGTGCCCTGTGTCTTCTCTCTGTCTCATTATTAATAGAGAAACTTTAGAAAATTTAATAAATATATGCAGTCGTACTAATAGTTATTTTAAACAGAACGCCTCTTATGTGTTGTGTATGCGGCGCAGAGGAGGGGAAGGTCGCGGCGGCGCACGTGGCGGCCACCAAGCGCCATCTTGTGCTGGCCGATGTGCAGCGCGACCGCCGCTTCGCACAAGGTCTGCGCTGGGTGGACGCCAAGACGGCAATGTGTGTGCCCGTGCTCAAGCCCGACGGCGACTGCTACGCAGTGCTCGAGCTCTACAGGACCCTCGCCGAACCCTACGATGACGTGCGTCCCATCCACTTTCCTCGAAGGCTCTTAGTTCTTTTTTAAATATACATATCTGGTGGTATTATATTTCTGTGTGTCCTTCAAAAAAAGTCTTTCCCCTCGCCATCGGCACACATTCTATTTAATAGCCGGCACGTGGCCCACATTCCTCACCCGTGCTGGTTGCAGCGCGCGGTGTACAGCTGCGCTAGTGTGGCGTGGTGGGCAGGCGCGGCGGCGCACCAGGCGGGCGCGCGCGCAACGCTGCAGCGCGCCGCACACCTCGACCTCGAGCTGCGCGCGCTGCTGCACGACTACTTCTGCGAGCGCGCCGCCCTCGACACCATGCTCACCGACATGCTCGTACAAAATTTCTCTATCTCTGCCATACTGAATTTACTAAATACCGGTTGGCACTGCCTCCACTTTCATCGGAAAAATTACGTCAAGTGGTTCAAACTGCATGTATGAAAGATTTTGAAGGTTACTTAAGTTTTGACTTTGTTGTATGTATCTTGTCATATCGTGCAAGAACTGTATGTAAATGGGTGTCGTTGCGAGATGTGGACGTGTGGCAGGCGATCGTGAAGTCGTTCATCGGCGCGATGCGCAGCAGCTTTTTGATCGTGGACCGGCAGCACATGGAGCAGCAGCTGGTGGCCGACGTGTGGGAGGACGGCTGGCAGTCGGAGCGCACCGCACTGCCCAAGAAGAAGGCCAAGGTCAAGTAAGTGCGGACACTACGCCTGGACCTTGTAAAGTAAATACTGTATCTCTTTATATATTCTCATATATCATTTTCATTATTTCGATGATGTGACTCACAAAATTATGATAACCGCAACTTAAAAAACGATGTTTAAAAAAATGTCCATGTGTTCGTTCCCTAGTTTAAGCGTGGAGCAGAGCCCAGCAGGCCTGGTGGCGCGCACCGGGGCTCCCCTCAACCTGCACGACGCCTTTCGTGACCCGCGCTTCTTGCGCGATATCGACCCCGCCACGGGCATGGTAGTGCGCTCCTCGCTCACATACCCCATCAAGGACAAGAAAGGCGTTATAGGTATACAAAATCATAGGGAATGTACTTAAGCAATGCAATTTATAAATAAATATTTTAATAATTAAGTCTTTAATTAAAAGAAGTATTTTAACGGTACGAGACGTGTTGCGTCGACGCAGGCGTGGTGCAGCTTGCCAACAAGGGTTCGGGGCGACCATTCGACGCGGAGGACGAGCAGATCTTCCAGGTGTTCGTGGACCACTGCGCGCTCATCGTCCACTTCTACCACATGCAGCAGAGCAAGCTCTATCACGTGCGTTATCTTGCTTGCTTGGACCGGCAAACACATTTACACAACCGTTCAAGTACAGTAGCTAAAAGTTAACACAATGATGGAAGATTGAATGGTCAAGAGGTAACTTAAAGATAATATGGACATGTCGCGGCGCAGGAGAACCTGAACCGCGTGTATTCGGAGCTGCTGGGGCTGCACCTGCGACCTTGCGGACACGACCTCGAGGAGCTGGAGACCAACAGCGCCATCGTGCCGCCCTTTAACTTTAAATCGTACCGTACTATATTTATACTTTGCTGTTTTTTTATAAAATTCTGAATAATTTCCTTTAGTAAAGATTCCGCTGCTCGTTTGCCTCCTTATGCTATAAAACCGTTTCGTCCTCATTGTGCGATGGTGTGCCAGCTTCAACTACCACATAAGCGAGGGCAGCCGCGAGGAGATGCCGGCGCTGGTCTGCCTCATGTACTCCGAGACGTTCGCCGCGCACAAACTGGAGCGCCGGAGGTTGGCGGACTTCGTGCTCACCGTCCTGGCCTGCTACCGGCCCAATCCCTACCACAACGCCGAGCACGCCTTCTGCTTCACCCACACCATGTACCTCATCCTGCGCGAGAACCCCGGATACTTTAGCTTCGTCGAGGTGATATGTGAGGCGAATCGCCGTGGGTGCTAGATGTATGCTAGATGTGCGGTAGCTGTGTGCACCGCCTCCTATGTGCGTTGTTCGCAGACGGCGGCGCTGATGCTAGCGGGCCTGTGCCACGATCTGGACCACCCCGGCTACAATAACAACTTCCTCAAGCTTTGCAAGCACCCGCTCGCCCACATGTACACCAGCTCGCAGCTCGAGCACCATCACTATTTCCTCGCCACAAAGATTATTGAGGTATCCCTTGTCCGCCTTTAGCGGCTCGTTATATGGCCAAACACGAGCTGAAGGTAAACTTACTACATAACAATACGATACAAACAAATTGATCAATATGTTTGTCTACAGATCTAGTTATACATTTCGTGACGTCACGTTTTTTTTTAAACCGCACTAAATTTTAAGCAGTTGAGTTGGTCAAAGCGAGCTAAACGTTTTGGCTATATGTATTTCTTAATTTGTAACTTAAGCTTACTGATTTTGTTTGATTCTTCAAAAAAAGTTTTATTTTTCATTGACTACAAGTTAATTACCTGAAAAAATCCAATGTCCCGTTTTAAGTGAAAAAATAAATGGTCACGTTAGTTATACGTAATGTTATGTAGGTAGCCGGTAATGTTTTGGAAGCCGAGGCAATGACCGCTGCCTGTGCGCGCGTGTTTCACCAGGACAAGAAGCTGCTGGGCAAACTGGAGGCGACCGAGCGCGAGGCGGTGCTGGAGGAGATGCGCTACGACATCCTCTGCACCGACCTGGCCGTGTACTTCGCCCTGCGCGCGCAGCTCGCGCCGCTCGTGGCCGACCGCGCCTTCAGCTGGGCCGACACCGCGCACCGCCGGCTGCTCAAGGTGCGCGTGCCTCCCCCTGGCCTCCTCACACCCGCCAACAAACGTGCAGCTTATGAGCGCCGCTTTCATTGCATGCGACAAAAAAGTTGACACAATGAAGGGTGTATCTGTTTACCGCAGGGTATTCTGATGACGACGAGCGACCTGTCCGGCTGCTGCAAGCCGTTCGGCGTGGCCAAGGCGATCACCGAGTCCATTTACGAGGAGTTTTACAATCAGGTAGCGGCGGCGCGGGCCGGATGACGTTGTGTTTGTATAGCTCGGTGCAGCAGTATTCTGTGGCGCAGGGCGACCGCGAGCGCGCCATGGGGTACACGCCGCTCAGCATGATGGACCGCAAGCGGCGCGTCAACCAGCCCGCCGAGCAGATCCAGTTCCTCTCGGTGGTGGTGCTGCCCTGCCTCATGCTGCTCACCAACATCTTCCCCAACACCAGCCCGCTCATGGATAACTGCAGGTCCGTCGCCTCACACAAAAACCGATACGCGTGTTGCCAGCCTCTTTGTAGCGGGCCGCGCTACGCGGTGCACCTAAAGTTGTATAATTTCCCTTATGTTTAAATGTGTGCGGGGCGGTGTATATAATACAACAGTATTGAGGTGTTGCAGGGAGACGCAGGAGGGCTGGCACGAGGAGATAGAGATGCGCGGCATGCGGCTGTGGCGGCAGGAGGACTCCACGCCGCCCAGCAGGAGCCGCGTCTTGCTCAAGGAGGACAACAACTAGCCCACCTCTTACTCCGCTCCGCTCCGAGCGATAGTCTATTATCTTGAAGTAAAATGATCGATCAATAAATCAATACATTCACCAGGAATAATGTGTTCAAAACTAATTAATAAAATATCATTTCATATTTCTAATAAATAATATATTATATTTACATCATATTTCAATGTACCCATCATTTTTGTGACGATTTTTTTTTAATTAAAAACTACAGTGAAATGTTATAAAAGACATTGAGCATTGATAAGTTATGGAACTAATTGTACTAAATCAATATAAACAAGTGAAATGATCTATTAATACATAATATAATACAAGATTTATCATTTTGCACATTAAATTCTATGACTGTGATGTAGTCGAGCACTAACAAAGAAATTCATCCCCTAAAGGTTTTAATTAAAACACTTAAATTAGACAGATTTTGTTGACATTTATCTGCATGCTATAATAAAACAAACTAGATGATATTTAGGAGCTGGGAGAAAGCTAATTGAATCAACTGCAATCAGTCAAATTAATTTAATCTTGTATAAGAACATTTTGAATATCATATACTGGCCACGTGAGGAATTGGATATTTGCTTACGAGATTAAGGCATTCAATTGAAACAAGGTGTACACACTATTGCAAACACCAAGGATCAATGTTTCAGATATAGTTTAAACATATGTCAACATTTTGATACAGTCACTATAATGCAGGGTGTGGATTTTTGACAAATCATGGCAATTAAGGACATTACTATGTGTAGGCTTGCAAATTGACTTCTTGATAAGTCAAGAAGTCAATTTACAAGCAATTACTAATTTTATATTATAAATATGAAGTATAGTGGATGGATGGATGTTTGTTTGAAGGTATCTCGAAATGGCTGAACCGATTTTTATGAAATTTGGCTCACATATAGAAGAAAGTCTGGAAGAACATATAGGCAGAGTCGCAGGCGACAGCAAGTACATGATAAATTACTTATACCGAAATTAGTGTTGATACATATTTATGGTGATACATATAACCACTTTGACGTACATAATATCCTTCACCAGCATTCAAAGTGTTAAAACATGTATTTAACAAGTGTACTTTATTCATTACATATACTAAGTAAATGCTGACTTATGCATTATTTTGTAACAAATTGAGGTTTATTGAATGTTTAAACAATAAGTGTTACAATGAGCTAGACTGTGTGACATGTTCATTACCACTGACACCCAGTTGGTGTACACACAAACAAATTCTGCCACAAAACACAATTTCAAGGTAGATTTGAGTTCTTCACACAATTTTATTGTGCTTTTTCAATTTTTTTATCAGTTTCAACCATTTGTCTTATTTATAAGGACAAAAACTATGCTGATGACCTACGGCCAAGTTATAAGCTTTTTCTCTTTTTTATGTGGTGGTGCTTCACAAACCAGAGTCTGTAAAATAATGATATAATTATAAAGTATTGAACATAAGAACAGTTGAATATCAATAATCTGGTTCTATTCTAAAGCCGAGTTTGTTTTCTCAATATCTAATCAAATTATATAGATTAAAGAAACACTTACTGAATCCACTGAAATTTTCCTTTTGAAAGTGTCAGATTCATTGTTTATTTTTTTATTATCGAGTTTAATCCTTTTCATGTGCCCCGACAACAAATCAGGCGGCTTTAATCTCTTACTAAGCATATGTGAAACATTGTTGTTGTTTTTATTATCGCTAGCCAGGCCCACTTTAACTGGCGGCTCGGGGCTTACATGCCGACCTCTACTTAATGCCTTCCCTCGGCCGGAATCGCGATGTTTCCTTTGGCCGTAAGGGACACAATAATGATGAAATAATTCTAATATGTCATCCCTAGTCATGGAATCCATATTAGGTACTCGCAAATGTCGCTATAAAATACAAATATTAGTGTAATTGTCAATCGTTACTGCATAGCATACACAAGGTAATAAATTTAAAATACCTGTTGTATTATGGTAGTAAGTTGCTCATTCGTTAATAGTTCAGGATGTAGCAACATATCAAATGGGACATTAGACATTTTTAAGATAATATAATACAGTTCTTAGGTACATAATGGTGAACTTATTTCATTATGTTAGTTATTGTTGATTTTTTTGTACTGGACAGCATAACACAAGTGCCGAAAACCGCCATAATAATTGTCATCTGTCTATGTGACACTAAGTTTTGCGAGACTCTTTGCTACCAGCTCAATTTGTCATTCATATCATTCCTTTGAACACTAAAGTTGCTATACATGGTTTTTATATACTCTTTGGACATGGTTTTCATACAATTCATTTGTCAGTTATATACTCTTTGTCAGTTGACCTAAAGGTCTATGTTACCAAGTCATAAAATTAGAAAAAATAAATAAATCACTTGTCAGCTGTCAATCGTTGTTGCTGTCAAATTGTAGGCTTCGGTTGTTTGCTTCACAGATTTTTTACTTTTTATTTTAAACATTTGAAGCTGTTTTATTGAAATATATTTAATATTTATGCGTATTTCAGCGTTATAGGAATAAATGTTTGGTTCATTCTTTTACCTCTGACCGTTGTTAATTTTGTAAAGCAAAGCGCTGCTGTTTTTTTTCTTCTTAAAATATCGAGAACAAAATAAACCTCGCAAAACGTATAAATACCTTCATGTTAGAGAGAAATATTTTTGGAACAAGTGTTTAAGTGCTGAAAAATTACGCGCAAATGCCAAGAGTCGTCAGGGTCACACCGATGCGAGAACTCGATCGGTATAGTGTTACTCTGGGGTACTATGCTGTTTATCAGTGCCTTGGCGATTGGCATGATTACCGGCCTGCAAAATGTCACGACGGAGGTGTCGACGACGGACAGTGACGTCACCGTTACGACGGAGGACATGGGTCTCGTGGAGCCGACGAGCCTCACGCCTCCCGTCAGCGACTCGGTCAACGTGACGCTACAGGAGCGGCCGTCGATGTGGGACGTGTACTTGCACCACTGTCCCAAGTGGCGGCCGGTTAACCACATTTTCTTCCAACTGGCGAATGGGTGTTTCTTGGTGTCATTCCTGGCGCCGCATACGCCGGCGGGACTTGTGTGGCTGCGCGTGGCGCTCGTGCTCGGCTGCGCGTTCTCCGGTCTGTGGGCGTGGAGCGTCCAGTGCTACCTGGACGCCGTGTTGTGGAACAGTGCATTTGTAGTGATTAACTTTGTGTATTTTGCAGTGCAGTTCTATTTGATGCGACCTATAAAGTTCCATAAGGAAATTGAAGAGGTGAGATTTTTTCTTTCATTAGCCTAAAAGTTATTTATAGGGGTTTGTCCTTGATAAACTTACACCAATTAGATTAGTGTAAAGATGGACTGTTAGCCATGTGTGTTCCTGCAAATGGAGGGTTCCTTTTGCTATAATTAATAGAAATAAATGGATTAATGGTTTCTGAGTCATAATCATTAATGTTTTAGGCAATGTTAGGCAATTCATGTTGTTAATATTGCTTTTGCCAGCATGAAGTGTGTCATGGCAAACTCTGCATCTGCTGCATTCTTTTCATGATTACCTAGCTCACTGTCACACCCTGTTTCTCCCGAGTCACACATACTTGTAAAAAGTATAACAGGTTGTTACTAAATAAGTTTTATAATATTGTTTTCATACTAAAATAATTCATATTGTGACTAAATAAGAAAGTTAACTAAGCTGATAAGGATGTGATAGTTCTCTCAGCATGTCTGCTCTGCTCTCTGGTATATATAACAAGAAACACTCTCCTACATAACATTAATGTACTCTTTTTGTTTAATTATGAATTATTATATTTATATTGTTATTTGTTTCAATATTCTGGGGAATGTTTTTGTGCTAACAAATTTTAGTAAAATTAATTTAAGTAATTTAGTTATTACATGCATTCTCTCTCTATCTATCTCTCTGAATTACATAAGTTTTGTAGCAATATATAAAGCTGTACTATATAACACCACAGTAATATAATATAATATATAAGCTTTCTTGGCTCACAACAATCAGTCAGGCTGCTGGGGAATTAAGCTTACTAATTTTAAATTAAAATATAAAAAAACTATACAATTCATATATACTTTTTACAATCATCTGAAAATGTTACAAAGTATGGAGTGTCTCATCCCCATATCCCAAGTATTTTTTATGGGCACCTTCTACTTTGTACAATAAAGAGCTTGGCTTTTATTTTTTTATTCTAGTACATTTGTCGAGGTAATGGTCTTTTTGTTTTATTTTTAAATTAGTTGTTATATTAGAGGAGTTGTGCAACGTTAACTTGCAATTAAGCAAAGTAGAACAAATAAAAGTGCAGTTGAAAGATCTCGCATTTCTCCCCAATCAAAACGTCAGCTGATGTAATCAGCAATGGGTCACGGGGCCGCCGAGAAGCGAGGGGGGGGGGGCGGTCAGTGGCCGCGGATAGGGCAGGGTGCGCCCTGTACATTGATTTTATTTAGTAAAACTCGTACGCGAAACTGGTAAAAGACGAGTGGTACATAGGTGGAGAGTGCGGCGACTGTGTCACTATTATCAACTACGTCAATACAAATGACCGATAATGTTTACATAGAACATGTTGTCTCTATCCAACTTAAACAATTTGTGTTGATTTTAGATGCTAGTGGCCGCGCTAATCACTTTCCAATGGCCGCCCGCTGCCCGCTCCCGCTCGTGTCTTGTGCATTGTGCAATACCACAGTGACACAACGAATGAGAAACGAATAAACTGTTGGTCTATATCACATTACCGCAATACACTATTCAATTACATGTAAAAAGGCAAACGAAATTATTTATATGTTACAATTTCAAAAATTTTGAACGTTAAACATTGGAGACTTACATTCCATTTATTAGTGTTCCGTTCCGTGTAATTAGTATTGCTATGTTTATGTCAAATCTTAGCCAGTTTGTGGCGCTGTTCTGGAGATTACCCGTACCAAAAGCGACATTTGCGGACAGTCAGACATACAGACAAATACTTTAATAATTAGTTTTTCGTTATCAGCTGCGCAAATAAATCAAATTAATATTTTTATACAAACACTCTAATTTTATTAATATGGATAAATTTTTAATCTTATCTCGAGGAAATGTGAAAGGAAAATTATGCTAAATCTTCTTGCTCAATAACAGTGAAGGCGAACAAGACGTCCCGCTACTGACACATAGAGAGAACCAAACTTTCATTAGTCGTATCTAGAAATGACCATGTCAATGATTAATATACACCTAAACTAGCTGTCGCCAGCGACTCCGAATCCTTCAGACTATGTTTTACATCTATGCCAGACCCATGCAGACGTTCTGAAGATAACTAACTTTCGCATTTGTAAATTTAGTAAGATTTTTTGTATCGGCTAATGCTGTGCAATACACTAGACTGAAAACTACATTAGAGATTTTCTGTTCGATTAAGAACTTACGTCCTCCTTGTGTGTGTAGTAAAGTCTTTACGTTAGCGGCGCGTGTCCCAGAATCCCCGCGCAGTGAGCACTATCGGGGGCGAGGGGTGCGCCCCTCCCCTCCTCGATTGCTAGTATTGAAGCTTATTCGTGAGTTGGGGCGGACTGGCGCCACCGCCGACGACGCTAATGAACTTTGATGTATGGCTGCAATGCGGTTTGTGCAAGCCATACGTACAATTTGGAAGAAAAACATTGACCTCCTTTCACACTATTATCAATCGAATAATACACTTCAAACTTATAAACATTACAGAATAGTGTCTACTTACTTTAGTTAGGTAACATAAAGGTACTTATAGTACATCTCCAATCTCCAACTTAACAAATTCCACTCAAATCTGAATTATTCACGGACGGTTTGAATCCGTTTGTAGAGCGGCGCTAGGACAGGTCCCAAGTTGTTAAATAAAAGTGGCCTTACATCATATTGAGAATTTTAAAAAAGAGCAGCATTTCCAAAGCTCTTTAGGATATTGTCTTGAGATGGGGATGGAACATATATTCTTTTCCTCGCCGAATGTTATTTGTTTGCGAGGAGACGACGGAGCTGCGGCTGCTCGCGATGATATTGAATGGATAACGTAAAAAAGCCTTAATAGCACGTGAAGCCGCAAGCCGCATACAATGGAGCGGAGTGGATGGCACTGCCCCGCCACTTGGCTCGTGAGGTAAGTAGGTCGTCGTCCGTCGCCCGTGACGTCACTCCGTACCTGTCGAGCCGGTCGTTACCGACGCCGATGTTGATTGCAAGCTTCCTTCCCTTTTCTCACCGCCTTATTACTATTTTTCTATTGGCTTACCTTAAAATGCTATAAACGATGATAATATTAAAATCAAATAATCTCTTTAAAACTTCAGTATTTTGTTTATTTCCGTAGTAATAATATATATTGTTTAAACATAGCTGTGAGATGTGTGATCATGCTCCAACGACCCTCTACGGAGGTAACAGCTGGACACGCCATCAAAACTATTCACTCAATTAGATCCAGATTAGATTACTCATCCAACAAATATATTTTTTAGATTTCGTACAAACACAACAAGCGTATCATCTAATGCTTAAATATATGAATAGTCGCCGATTCCGCTTCCTATACTAGCATATAAATGCTAGTATAATACTAGTTGTATTGATATGAAATGCTGTCGAGCGGGCAGTGTAACATTTACTTGTCCACGTGTTCTGTCTTCATTACAAATACGGTGAGACACGGGAGAAAATAACTTACATTGTGTATTGTTAGCTTTTAGTAAAGCTTGAACGTAATATTCTTGTAACTTGCCGGAGACTAACTTGTTCAGATTAGTTTTTAACCCGTGAACCCTGATGTTTGTGCCGCCTTCAGATGTATAAAAATTAACAAAGCATAAACAATCCGCCACTAGCGCAGCTTTCTCTCTCATAAATAACAAACCTGTTCAAATCACATACTATCTGTCGAGAATCAGATTTCCACCTTGGTAGGTTTTGTTCTATAGAAACGTCTATAAATATATAATACATATATTGACAGGCATGTTGTGAAACGTGTGGGGAACAGCAAGCAGACATTGAGTTGTATTTCATTTGGCCGCATGCCGCCACAGCGAAGGGTTTCTTCTCCTGGTAAACAAGTTCATTTCCTTAATGTATATACTTTTTTTTGCGTAAATAATCTTGTTTGGTTTACCTTTGAACATGGATCACCGAAACAGTTTCCGGAATGAGTACGTTCTTATTTATTTGTCTAGATTCTATTTCGGAAGGCTACGCATAAATATATCTTACTACTAATTATAAATGCGAATGTTTAGATGTATGGATGTATGTTTGTTTGAAGGTATCTCCAGACCGCTGAACGGATCTCCATGAAATTTGGCACAAATATCGAACATAGTCTGGAAGAACACATAGGCTACTAATTATGTTTTTTTATTAATTCCACGAGAACGAAGTCGCATTTCTTGTAATGTCTAATATTAGCTTGCGAAAAACAGTTTGGACATATGCATATATGTTTAGGCTAAAGTGTAATTGAAACACTATGTATGTTTTTTTTTATATTTGGGCCCTAATATTTAAAGTTGTGGTCTGAATTAATCACTATTTGAGTGTTGTTTACGGAAGTTTGTCCCGCGGGCAATATAATTTGCGGGGCCCTTGTGTTCGTACCTGTCCCCGTCTGCCCTGTTCAGATAAAATGGTGATTATAACAGTTACCGATCGTCCAGCATCCAAGTGTCTGCTAGATTATATACTTTAATAGTCATTTATCATTTGGCCCGAAGCCAAGTAACGTAGAAGTCTTTCTAACAAGTTGGTTCTCTTCAACTTGTCCGAGTGTCTCAGAACCCCGACATAGTATGCAACTTAGCAATTATTATTCAATGTTAATTTCTAACAGAACATAAAGTATTTCGTTCAAGATTCATATTGAAATAATGGTTAGGTCCATATTGTAGCTACTTTATTAGTAAACCGCATAAAGTTGAATGAAAATCTAGCAATACACAGTGAACAGTGTGAGCTCGCAGCCGACTCCGTGACAGTTATTGAGTCCGCTATCTGTAACCAATTCTCCCACACGACCCACACCTTCACAAGGCCGTCAATTAAAATGGCGGTAGTACAAGGAGCCAGTTTCTAGCCAGTTCAAATGGCGAGTTTCTATTTTAAAAAAATATTTATAATTTTCTCAATACAATATTTTTATCTTGTTACTGACGTAAATGTATCTGAAGATGCGAGCAGGTGGAATTAACTGCGTCAATTAAATCCTATTAGTAAAGATTAAAGTTGTCGTCATTTTCTCCTTGAAGGTCGTTCCCCGATGTTTGATTTATTCTCACTATCTACACTAGTTCTCTTGTATCTCAATATTTTGCCTAACTTAAACTAATTAGAAACGGCTAAACGCAAGTATATTATCCGATGTTTCCTCTCAATAGTGTTTCAGACCCTAAAATTGCAGTAAACACTGTAATACATTTGTATTCCTTAGGAAAGATTTGTTAGGAGTAAATTTGAAAGGACAGGCCAATAGCGTAGCACGAAACCAAGTACTCGTCGGGCTAGACAAAGTCGATGTTTGTGTGCATTTGGACTCCGGGGGCGCGGGCGAGCCGAGTCTGTTGTAGTCTCCGCCACCCCGCACGTAGTCGCAACTCACCGCAGGCAGCGGACCCGACCAGCCAGATTATTGTTTTCCGGCCGGTATGGCGCACCCACCCACCCTCCATTGTTATGGCTTTCAAACCGAAGTCACTTTTTTGTTTTGTTCGGAATACCTACTGATCACTCTTTTTATACAAAAATCGTTTTTGTTTTGAGCTAACCAGGACCACCAACGGAACAGTGTGCACGTTGTTGGTGAAATTATTATAAAACATTATCCTAATACGTATATAAACTTTTCAAACATTTCTGAAAGTTAGTATAAATCTGGTTTTGTCTCTTTGTACCTTATTGTGGCTTATCTTATTATTACTACTTATAATATCACTTGAATACTTTATGACGCCTGGCAATTTGTGTGACGGCGAAGGCTCTGCTTTGCTCACTGGACATCATTTGTTTTCGTTGAAGACAGAATAGAGCGTGGCCGGCAGATACTTCCTGCGTGCAAACTCGTCCAACTTTGTTGCTCGTTGAACTCTTTTTGTCCTCAAAATTGTGTTGATGACATAATTCTCATTTGTATTTTCAATACAAATAAGTGTATTGTTACGTTTATAATATAGTTACACAAAGAATAAATTGACACTTGCCCTTTCTGCGTACATATATTTAAAGGAACAGAGTTATGAACAAACAAATTGGGTTGTGAACAGATTTTTGTGTCGGCAGGTATACGTGGCTCTGTTCGCACCTCTGCGCGTGTCGCGGCGGCAGTTCCGGCGCGTGCTGCAATGCATGCGCAGCGTGCGCCACCTCAAGTGCCACGAGCTTTACGCGCACGAGAAGGTCACCAAGGTGGACAGCCTTTCGCTCGTGCTCTCCGGCAAGTGAGTACCGCACCGCTATCCCACCTTGCTCTCACTGCATCGAGTTTAGAGCAAACGCGCCGCTTAACATAGTCACTGCATTGTTCGGTAAACACTTCCGAGTGGAGTGGCCGGCTCTCGATCAGAGTCTGAGGGGAGGGTTTAGTGGAGCAGGCCTGCCATCGGTATATGACAACATCCATTCACATAGCACTTTAACTTAACATAATTGTTGCACACCTTGCACGATATCATCTAAGTGATTGTACTTTTATTGGAATATTATTTTATGGTTTTCATCATCAATTGTAATTCAAATGTAAATTGTAATATCGAGCAAGGAAGGAGACTATAAGCATACGCACACCATATATATGCTTATTTTATGACATATTAATCTGCGTGTCCAGTGCGTAATTTATGTGTTGCCGTCTTGAACATGCGCTTCAACCGTTTACTGGCTAAGTATTCCGAGAATTGCAGCCATCAGGCGACCACAAATAGCCCGCGCCGCGCCGCCGACCGGCTGACGCTGCCGGCTGTCGCTGCCGGCCCTCGAATACGACACCGATTTCATTGATTCAAACATGAGGCTCATATTAAGTCATATACTTTACCGATTATGCGTTATATTTTTTAATAAAATAACTTATATAAACGTTTAATTGAGCAAACTCTACCCTAGGAACATCAATATTCTTCCCTATTAAATATCAAATTCGTCAGTACCTAAGTTGTTAAATTTGTAGTGTGTTACTTCCACTTAAATAAGCATACAAGCTTAGTAATTGTGCAAGCAGGCCGCACGTCGGCTACTAGTCGCCTCAAGCAAGGCTACTCTTGTTCGTCACCTAAGTCCATATACAATTATAATAACATTGGCACATTTCATTGTCTCGATGTCTGATATTTCATTAATTATCCATGTGCATGTGCTGCATCACTTGCAGTAGTCACGTATGCAGGTACAATATTATTTGTCTTGTTAAGAGTTCATCACCCTGTTAACTAAATTTATTAAGAAAATTGGTGATGTATAAAACAAAGGTACGACATATCTGTTTGTTTGCTTTGTGTGTTACGCAATACGCAAAAGATTCAATTAATGCCAGAGCATTGGTAGTGGCAGCAGTAGGTGGCGGGTACAGCGAGTGAGAGCGACTTGCTCTGACCTCGCTTTATGAATGAATGTGATTGCCAGCGATTGTATTGATTGTAAGTGAGGTGGCGGTGTTGGTGGTGGCTGTGGCGGGGCTCACTACGGCGCGCTGCCTACATTATATTAAAATGTATTACATAATTGAATGGCCGTGTCTTTCAAGTTTTCACTTCTTCAAAGTTATTGTAAATATTTCGTGTGCACATGTTTCATTTTAATACAACATTTTAGCAAAGATACTTGACATCGCATACAGTTATTTTGTGCAGTGGTTGGTGCACTCTTAGCATTTCTACGGAAAACATTAAAGCAATGCTCGCGTTCTTATGCACAGTCTATCGATGCTGAAATTTTGTAACAGTAAAAAACATGTTTAACTAGTAATTTAATTCCAAACGGTGTAACATCTACATCCCGGGAGGTTCGGCAGGACTTACAAACGCCCGCCACGCCGGCGACACCCTTCGGCAAATTTAACTTTTGTCGAACTTATATAAAAGGTCAAACTGCTCTTTACTGACATTTTGGAAAGGCCGAAAACATATAGCCAGATGTGTATTTTGCTTGTCCTGATATTCGTGATGATGTTCGTACGCGATAATATTATTTGCGTAAATAAAGATAATAATAAAGGTAAGGTGGGTCAACATCGGTGATACTGCCGCAGACTACCTAGGTAACGATTTCGCACACAGTTCTTAATGTATGTATGTATGTCGCGGTCGCGGCGGCGGCAGCGACGATCAGAGGTCGCGAAGAGCCGGTCGGCGATAGCAATCAATATTGCTTTTACGTCGCCGACCCATATAAAGTTATGATTTTTGGACAAATGTAACGCGTGGCGTTGAACTATCGTTAATTGAAGACAAACGCCACAAAAAACGACGTTCAGCTTTGTTTATCTTTATAGCTATTAGTGATCATGGATTAGATTAAAGTAAAAAGTTTAGTGCACATGCATAGCGGATGTCTCATGAGAAAGCGTAGTACATGCATTGTGCGTGAAGTGGGCGTTGTGTTCTCCCCAGGCTGGTGGTGTCGCAGAGCCAGCGCGCGCTGCACATCGTCTTCCCGCACCACTTCCTCGACTCGCCCGAATGGTTCGGTGTCTCCACTGATGAATATTTTCAGGTAATCTTTGATCATTACTTATATTCTTGTATTTATGTTTCACGTTTATTTATTTTTTCTACATTATAAGGTTATTTCTGAAAGTGTGACAAGCTGTGGTCGCAGCTAGTAGGACAGGAATAATGTGTGCACATTGTAACAAGGTTGGGGGTGTGGGATACTTTGCAGGTGTCGATAATGGCGATGGAGGAATCGCGCGTGCTGGTGTGGCACCGCGACAAGCTGAAGCTGTCCATCATGTCGGACGGCTTCCTGCAGGCCGTCTTCGACCACATCCTCGGCCGCGACGTCGTGCACAAGCTCATGCAGGTAATAAACACATACATACACACACACACGAAAACTGGTTATAATAAATGATCCGTTTGCTCGTTTGTAAACTTACTCCAAAAAAAATGCAGTGATTAATCTGTTCACGTACTGAGAAAATGGTCGACCTGCTGGAATGTGGTGTTGTGTCTGCTGTCTCGTGTGAAGTGACGAGGTGCTGTGGCGCGACGTTGCAGGTGAGCGAGACGATGGCGGCGAGCAACGGCCACCTGCCCAACTGCTACGAGGAGGGGGAGGACAAGCCCATGCTGGTGGTGAAGAAGGCGGGCGACGGGCCCGGCATCACCGCCCTGCTCAACCGGCAGCTGCAGGGTGAGTGGCCGCACCCAGTGCCATCTGTCTTAACCTTACCTTCTACTCACACTCGTTACATACATTAATCATTGTTCAAAAATATGTATTGACTTACGTCCATTGTGGAGAGTTGTCAGATAGTGGTGGAGGCGCACGGCGGCGCTGAATGTCGCCCGCGTCTTACTGCATCAATATCAAACATTAGCTCATCTTAGGGCGGTCCTATTATCACATAGAATAATCCTTGTTCCAGTCGAAGGATTCATTTTCCGTGCTTTTGTAGTTTTGTTGTCTTCCTGTAGATCGTTGCATGTAAATGCTTGGATGTGTTGACGGTTGATGGCAACAAGCATATAATCTATCTATATATCTTTAACTTATGTAGCATACAGATGAATTATAGAATAGCTCTTAGAAAAAATTTTATTCCCGGTAAATGTACGATTCCTTTGGCTTTCGGCTGGCAAATGAACAACGAAGAACACAAAAAAGTAAATCTCGGCAAAGACCTTGTATGAATGCTATGTTAGTTTGGGCGGGATAGTTGTGCTGCGCTGCCTCGTGCCTTGCGCCCTCGCATGTGTCATGTCATCAGCCAGCGACTGACAGCTTTATGTGGGCTCGTGCTCTGCAATCACTTTGCTGATAGTTTCAGTATTCCTAAATTAGAACACTCGGTCTGTTTCTATGTTATTTCTATTAATATAAGTGTAGGAATTGTGTGAACCATTAGGGAATTCACAAAGCTCGCTTTCGGTGTAAAAGTTATCGGAGCATCCAACAGCACGGCGGCTGCATAAGCTTACACCTATCAGTATCTTCTCCTGAAACCCTAATAGTATCACTAAGCAGAGTAAAGTGAAACCTAATGCTCAATCAAGATGTGAGGATAAGGAGGAGGAGGAGAATGAGGTGGTGAGGTAATGTGCCGACATTAACTGTGGTGTGCTTGTGGCGTGACGCGGCCGCGCGCAGGCGAGCACGCGCCGCTGCTGCGCGCCGTGCCCGCCCCGCCCCCGCCCCCGTGCTGACG